GTGTATCTACTATCCTCAGGTGTCAGCCTCATGTTATGTTGCTTTATACTCCACAAATGAGTGCAGTCCTTCTATGTCTGTCCGTCTCTTTCTGACTCATTTCACTTAGCATGATACTCTCCATGTCTATTCATTTATAAGCAAATTTCATGACTTCATCTCTCCTAACAGCAGCATAGTATTCCATTGTATAGATGTACCAAAGTTTCTTTAACCAGTCATCTGTTCTAGGACACTTGGGTTGTTTCCAGATTTTGGTTATTGTGATGTGGGGGAAAAGGGACACTCTTTCACTTTGGTGGGAATGCCCACTAGTCCAGCCTTTCTGGAAAACAATATGGACAGTCCTTCAAAAACTAGAAATTGAGCATCCATATGACCCCACAATACCACTTCTGGGAATATATCCAGAGGATGCAAAAAAGCACAGTAGAAATTACATCTATATCTATATGTTCGTTGCAGCACTATTCACAATAGCCAAAATCTGGAAACTTCTGTTCCTTTACAAGAAAATTCAAAAAAATAAAGCCATAGATTGTAAATGATGAATACTTTTTTCTATGAAGTGTCTTTAGATAATACTCATCTTATCCCTGGGCTTGATGCTGACACTGGTGATAAGCTTAAAAGTGAAACGCCAAACACTTATTAAAAGCTTTGTAGGATCCAACAGATAGTATAGGGGTTAAGACACTTGTTTGCACATGGCTGACCTCCTTCAATCCACAACATCACATATGATCTCCTGAGTTTTGCCAGGAGTAACCTCTGAGCACAGAGCCAGAACACCTCTGGGTACAGTCCCAAAATCAGATAAAAAGCTTTATAAATTGAGCTGGAGCGATAGCAGAATGGGTAGGGTGTTTGCCTTGCATGTGGCCAACCCGGGTTCGAGTAATTCCTGATTGCATGAGCCAGTAGTAACCCCTGTACATCGCTGGGTGTGACCCCAAAAAAGCTTTGTAAAACAAGATGCCCAAAAACGTTTTCTAATAATAATTTTTTAAAGTGGATTATATGGCATTGACTCTAAAGGAATATCTATTTTAACCAGATTTTTTGTTGTTTTGGCTGGTTTTTGTTTTTGCCCAACTCATTTGCTCTTTATTCTCACTGTGTAAGATTTATAGGTTTAAATTGTCTCAACTTGACCACCTTCCCAATATGAAAACAACTTAAAACTTTCCTAAAGCCCCCTCTAGTGACGGGCGGGAAATGAGTGCATTAGTTGTGGCGAGTTAAAATCATCTCCAAGTTAAAATTTCTACGTTAGTTATAAATAGTATTTTGATTGGAGAATGACAGGTGGTCAATTGTGCAAATTTTCCTACGTTTCTTTAGTCACAAAGCTAATGGGTTTTGTTTTGAGACTCAGTACAAAGTATACACACCATTTAATTCTGCTCCTTTCAAATATTTCCCAAATGTCCTTCGTTTGTATCCCTTAAGGATTAAAATATGTCCACCATTGAAATGTACATAATAAATTTAAAAAAAAACATGTCTTCTGTTTATATAAAAACAGTAAGATTATCTTGGTCTTTACTTTTTTGGGTTTTTTTTCTTGATTTATAATGGGGCTGCACTTAACAGTGATGGGCATTTCTCCATTCACTAGTGTGGTGCTGAGACATTGTTCCTGGCAGTGCTGGGGGGATCACAGTACCCAGGATAGAACCCAAGTTCCAACATGCAAAGCTTGCACTTCAATCCATTAAGCCATCCCTAGCCCATACTTATTTTTATTGCACTCACTGTATAATTTTCAGTGCTGCTGCTATTTCCAAACAGACAAGCATGAATTTGAGAAACTCTGGACTGTGAAAATGCAATAGATTAAGTATATGCATAATAATATACATTTTTCAATGTATATTAAAATATAATAAACCATACATTATATGGACTCACTGTAGCACTGTTGTCCCATTGTTCATCGATTTACTTGAGCAGGTACCAGTAACGTCTCCATTGTGAGACTTGTTACTGTTTTTGGCATGTCGAATATGCCACGGGGAGCTTGCCAGGCTCTGCCGTGTGGAGGGGAATCTCTCGGTAGCTTGCAGAGCTCTCTGAGAGGGATGAAGGAATTGAACCCAGGTCAACTGCATACAAGGCAAACGCCCTACCCGCTGTGCTATCACTCCAGCCCATGTACTCAGATATATATATAATTTATTTTCATTTATATCTCCCTTTCCAAAGGACTTAGAACTTATCCAATAAAAATGATAAATCCAACTTAACCAGATAGTATAGTAGGTATTATGTTAACATGACAGACCTAAGTTTGATCCTTGGCACCATACATGGTTCCAGTGCCCTGCCAGGAGTGATCCCCGAGCAAAAAGCTAGAAGCAAGCCCTGAGCACTGCTGGATATGGCCCAAAACACCAAAAATATATAAATAATTTTGTTTCTTTTTGGGTCACACCCGGTGATGCTCAGGGGTTGCTCCTGGCTCTGTACTCAGAAATTACTCCTGGCAGTGTTCGGAGGACCATATGGGATGCCAGGGATCACATCCAGGTTGGCTGTGTGCAAGGCTAACACACCCTACCCACTGTGCTATAGCTTCGGCCCCCAAATATTTTTAAAGATAAAATTCCTGAGCCTGGGATTTGCCTGCTTTGCACACATGATATCTGTGTTTGATCCCTGCTGTCACAAAACAATAGTAATACTAATTAATAATCCCCTGCATAAGAAAGAAAATTTTAAAATATAGGAAAGATGTGTGACTCAGTGATTGACTGCTTGCTTCATTTGCGTCAGGCCCAGGGCCTGATTTCTGATATCAAGATGAAGCAGGGAGTGGAGGGTGGGAAGGGGGTGAATTAAATAAATAGACTGTGGATAATTATTGCAACCAAACACTAATCTTAGTTTTGTGCTTCTAGTGAATGAAGACCAAAAAGAGAAACCCAGTAATAAAGGTAAGCCTATCACTTCCTTAGAGGCAGAAAAAATGTTTACCTTCTAAAAACAGGTGTATGTATATTTAGCTACCGATAACAAAAATAAACCTTTGTACCATGTGATCCATGTGGTATTTACATTGAGATGTTTGGCAAAGGTCTTCAGGAATGCCTGCTCTCAGGGGCTGCTGCAGCTAGGAGTGATTCCCCCCACCCCTCACCCCCTGTGGAAGGGTTTTCTGGGCAGCTAACTCTGTAACAAGTCCCCAGCAGCTGAGCACAGCTGCCCATGAGCAGATACATCTCCTGGGAACTGCCACCAGAAGGGATCTTCTCTCCTTCATTGAACACACAGAGTAAAAGCCAAGGACAAATTAAATTGCACTTCAGCTACAACAGTCACTGCTCCAAGTAATGAGTTAAAGGTCCTACAGGGAAGGTCATGAAAGAAACGGAACAAGATTATTAAGAGAAATAATGGGTCTGGCTGCAGTTAAATCCTCAGGTGCAATGTCTTCAGAACCCTCTCCCACTCGGTTGGTAGCTCCTGCTCAAGGAGCCCCCTTTTGTGTTTAGAAGCAAAATCTACTTTGCCTCCTAAATCTACTTCAGAAAGCAGAACTCATCTCTCTTGTGTTTGAATCGAGTCACTGCCTTATCTCTCCCAGGAGGGTTTGCCCTTTATGCTTCAGGTCTAATTCAATTTAACAAATGCTTACTGGAGGCTTATTACATGCAAAGTATTTTCCAGGTGCGAGTAGTGGAACAAAAGGCTTCATGTTCTTAGACAGGGATTAAGGAGTTCTTGTTCTTTGGACCACAGCTGCCTTTCTGTCCTGACTCCTTCCAAATGATCTTTGTTGTTGGGTCACAGAGGCCCCATGGACAACCTCCACCATCCTCAATTGTTTAATCTGATACGCCCTACAGTCAGGGGAAGCAATTGTGTGTCACCATCCTCTTTTGTTTTCCAGTGCAGTTCCTGGCTAACTTCTTTATGCCTGCAGTCCTTGGAACCCCAATTCTGAGACTTAACAGAAAGAAAACTATTATTAGTTAAAAGCCTCATTCTATTTTCCTGGGCTCTCTACAATTAATCTGGACAACTGCAAAGTAAGCAGCATCTGTTACATTTTAGAAAAGAGGCTAAAAAGTCCATTGTCTTGCTATTATCCCAGTGATCCCCAATAGGAATTTGTTAAGATTTTGCAGTGTTAGAAATACTTCTGATGGTCAAAATTTGGTGTGTGTTGGGGGGGGCGGGGGAAGTGTTTCTATGGGCATCTAGTAGCTGCTAAACATTCTGCACTACGGAGGACATTCCTGACCCCACAACCAAGAATTATGCATCCAGCCCAAAATGTCAGTAGCATCACTGTTGCTTCCTCCCTGTCTATTCTGATCTTCCACGAATTCAAAGCAAACTGCTTCCGAATTAAATTGTAGGAAGCTACAAATAAATCCACACCATGTTCAAGTTGTAACTCTCCATGGCGAATAATAATAAGAGCAATGATGATGACGATGACGATGATGATGATGATGATGATGATGTGGAGTCTTCAGAGTAACCGGGGTGCAGGAGAAAGGGAGAGGAAAGTGGAGAAGAAAGGTTCCGTGTTCAGACAAGTAAATAGAAACAAATGACTCCGGCTAAAACTTGAGATGGAAACAGACGTTTTTCCACACATATAACCCGCCGCAGGACTTTCACTAATCCGTATGTTCAGGATCTGCTTCGATTTGGAACTGGCACTAAGCCCCCATACATCATTTGCTCCTGTTTGACACCCCCACACCTCCCACCCTCCACTCCCCAACCCCCACCGGCCTCTTCTCCCGGCTCCTCCTGCAGGGACGAGGCCTGCCAGTGGTCGGCGACCTGAGTCCTAGCAGGAGACGGCTGTGTGGACGGCGGGCGGTACCCCGGGGCTCCAACCGCGCGCCCGGCAGCGCTGCGGTCCTGCGCGTCCCCGCATCCTCCATCCTCCATCCTCCATCCTCCGCCCTCCAGCGCCGCCGGGGCCGCGCCGGGTACCCGGAGCGGGAGCGCGCGCGTCCGCGCGTCGTGACGTCACAGCCCCGGAGCCCGGAACGCGGCCTTAGCAACCGGCCGGGGCCCCACTCTCCCGCAGCCGCCCGCCGCCTCCTGCGTGCTCCACCTGCTTTGCGGGGGCTGGCCGGGCCCTGGGAAGGACCGAAGGGGTCCCAACCTGTAACCCCCGAGGCAGCTGCAAGAGGATCTCAGCATGGAGGGCGGCCGGAGAGGTAAAGATCAGCCGTCGAGGCCGGGGGTGGGCTCCGGAAGCCCCGGGGACCCCGGGGGTCCCCGATCGTGCACCCACAGAGCCCCCCTCCACTGCCCCCAGGCCTTGCTGCCCGCCGGGCTTGTGGGTGGCTTCTCGCCAGGAGCGGTGGAATCGCCCTCTGAGCTCGGGGTCTGTGCGCGCGCCTGCAGAGCGCATGGGCCCAGGAACTCCTTTTGACCTTCGGGCTCAGACTTCTGGACATCCCAGAACCAATCCCTGCTGCTCCCGAGTGGGGTGACCCACTCTCTCCCGTCCCCCACAGTCCCTCGTCTCTTCAAAGTGAGAGAGTCAGACAGACATCCATGTCCCCGAGTTCGTGCAGTTATCTCGCATATCCCAAAGGGAGATAATGCATCGAAGGCGGCTGGCTCGTTGTTAAAGTGCTCCGGGAAATTGGAAATCTTGGCGTTCCCTAACCAGATCCTCCCCTCCCGCCAACTATTGAGTGACCCGGTGATGTTTTTTTCATGTGACTCGGAGCTCTGTTGAAGTGCAAAGTATGGGACGGGTGTGGGAGCTTTGTGATGACTGAAACCCAATCATGAATCGTTTTGGTAACTGTGTATCTCACGGTGATTCAATTAAAAACGAAATAAAATTAAAAAACAAGTGCGAAGTATTCAGTTAGTTCGATGGAAGCTGGCTGGAGTTTTGCATTTCTACTAAGCTTTCCTAAGTGATTCGGCGTTGTTGGTTAAAGTTTTAGTGGCTAGAGGATGAATTCATAATCCCGGTGTACGTCCGACCTTGACGTAATACTCCCTGGGAATGCGGTGAACACCAGGTCTTAGAACTGCCCATTTCAACCAATCTAGCCAAATAATTTGCCTCTTCACACTTGTGAGCACGCAGTATTTTTTTTCCCCTCCAGCTAAATAAGGCAGTCTCCAGACCTACTTCTGCCAATTCCGTGCGTGTTTTTATCTATTTTTAAATAAAACCAATGGTACCTTGATGGTTCTTTGCAGTAAGCCCTCCTTTGAAAGCCGGCGTGATTTTATTTAGGTAATTGTTGATTAAAGTCGTTGATTACATGAAGTCGTTGATTTACATGAAGAAGGGAACTATCCATTGATCGAGAAATTATATGCACTCAAGCTTTTCTAACCTAAATTTCAGATAAAGCAAACCAAAGTGCTTTTACAGTTTTCATAAATTTTGCAACATTGGTATTCAACCCTAGTTGAGTACCAGAAAGTATTCCCAAGTTATCTCATTGTTTAGTCTACAAAAACATTTTGTTAGGTATTATCTTTTTTTCAGGATGAAAAACAGATCATTAATAACTTGCCAGGGTCACAGTAAATGACACCTAGTCTTCGTATCCAAATGAATGTGAAACCTTAGAACTATTATTTTCATTTAGTGTCCTTTTGATATTTGTCAAAGCATTGGAAAAAATGCATGTAAACTTAGAATATAACAGGTTAGTATTTTCTTATAACTGTTGAATTACATTTATAATTTGGGTCATGTCAAAATGTAGCACTGTATCACTGTCCTCCCGTTGTTCATGGATTTGCTTGAGCAGGCACCAGTGACGTCTCCATTGTGAGACGTTTTATTACTGTTTTTGGCATATTGAATATGCCATGGGGAGCTTGCCAGGCTTTGCCGTGCAGGCAGGATACTTTCAGTAGCTTGCTGGGCTCTCCAAGAGGGGTGGAAGAATCGAATTTGGGTCAGCCGCGTGCAAGACAAATACCCTACCTGCTGTGCTATCGCTCCAGCCCCAGTCAAAATGTAAAAAAATAATAATAATAATGTTTAATTTCATGGCTCACCCAATTCAGTTCTTTTGGGGACATCACATAGAATCAGTTGATTTTGAATTCGTTAATGTGATGTTCAGCAAACATTAGGGTCTGTCAGTTTTCATATACCATAATAATTATGATAGAGGAGTGGTCTCCATCACCATATATGGCCTTCCAGACACTGTCAGTAATGATTCCTGAGCGCAGAGCCGAGAGTAAGCTCTGAGCACTGCTGGATTTGGCTCCCAAAAAGCAACAAAAAAAAAGTTTGGAATGTACTTATCAGTGTTTTGCATATTAAATCCTATAAAGTCTGTAACCTAACTTTCCTATCTGGGAGGTCATCTCTCAAAATAATCAGGTTTTTTTTTTTTTTGGCTTTTTGCTTTCTGGGTCACATCCGGAGATGCACAGGGGTTATTCCTGGCTCATGCACTCAGGAATTACTCCTGGCGGTGCTCGGGGACCATATGGGATGCTGGGAATCGAACCCGGGTCAGCTGTGTGCAAGGCAAACACCCTACCCGCTGTGCTATCACTCCAGCCTTAGGAATGACTTATTTTTTTTTTCATGCTCCCCTTTCTCTGCATCATTGTTGTTGCTGCAGTGACCAGGAGGCACGTGCCTATTTGGCTGTGGTGCCTGCACATTTTTGGTTGTGGTGCTCACACACTTAGCCAAGAGGTCATAGTCCCTTCAGTTGTGGTACCAGCATATGTACGCTCCCCTAGTTGTGCTTTCACACACTCAGGGTGTGGCACTTGGCTGGGGGGGTCACTGCGATGCTTGTACCTTGTCAGGGTCACACTTCTGGCTGTGGTGCTCCCATCCTCTTAATGACACACCCTGGGTTGTGGTCCTCACACACACCCAGATGCCGCACAGCTCAAAAATTGTTTATGGCACAATGATCACAGTCAGCACAGCTGCCAGGTGCCAACACAGAGCTGCTAGGATCGTGCTTGGCGCATGTGGTTGCACTGGGGATTGAACTTGAAACCTTTAGGTTTCCCAGGCAGGTCTTCTAGGTCACTGAGTTATTTACTAGACCCCTCCCACACATACCCATAAACACACCCGTGCCTCAACAGAATTACTTTCTTAAAATTGGGGCGGGGCCTCCCAAGTGGTGCTCAGAAGGTCTGGAGATGGGGATGCCTCCTAATAAGCCAAGGCCCCATTGCTGCCTGGGCCCTGCAGCAGTGCTCGGGGACCACATCAGCAGTGCTCAGAGGTCACATCTGAAGGTGTTCAGGGTACCCTGATCCTGGATGGCAAGGGTCACACCAAACTGGCCACATACAAGGCATGAGCCAACCCTGATACTATTTCTCCAGCCCTTATAAAAACTTTCGATCATTTGTATTGAGGTGCCGAGATTTTAAAAGACTCTTATGCTTTTCATGCAGACATCATCCAGCACCACACCCCTCTCTAGAGAGCCCTTTTGTCCACGTTTCCCTGGGTGAAGCACCCTCCCAGCCCCCTCCCCCCCCGCCCCATGTCAGCTCACTTCTATGACTTTGATCCTTTTCCATACTATTTCTATAATATATCCCAAGTATGAGAGAGATCCTTTTATTTTTTACTGTGATTTTTGCTTTTTATTTTTTCCCCTTCTTTTTTTGGGTCATACCCGGCGGTGCACAGGAGTTACTCCTGGCTCGTGCTCTCAGGAATTACTCCTGGTGGTACTCAGGGGACCCTATGGGATGCTGGGGATCAAACCTGGGTTGGCTGCGTGCAAGGCAAATGCCCTACCTGCTGTGCTGTTGCTCCAGCTCATTTTTTATTGTGAATGTGATGACATCTACATACACGTGGATGAATGAACTGAACTCCTGAAATTTCATAAAATTTAAATCAATGATAAGTTGGCAAAATTTTTTTCAAACTACATCATTTTTCACACGCCTTACAAGCGGCCAACATGGCCGACCCGAGTTCGATTCCTCCACCCCTCTTGGAGAGCCCGGCAAGCTACCGAGAGTATTCGATATGCCAGACACAGTAACAACAAAGTCTCCAATGGAGACGTTACTGGGCCCGCTCGAGCAAATCGACGATCAACGGGAGGGCCTTTACCTTTACCTTATAATTAATATGAATAATTCTGTGCTACTGCATTTTAAATTTTACATGAAATAGAAAAATCCTAGAAATATAAATTTTAGTGAGGAGAATGAAGAAACTTTTAAGGGGAAAATTAAATAGGCCTATAAAAAAGTATGAAAGTATTTTATCCTTACAAAGGGGATGTTGGCTTGTATTAGAAAATATTATAGAAAATGCTTAAGTGTCTGCATTAATAAGTAAAAGATTGTAATAAAAATGTCATTGTAAAAAGAACACACCTGATTAGATATAGAACATTCATTATAAATGCGACATTAATTTGTTATTGAAAACATATAAAATCCTTTAGCAAAACAGGAGTAATAAAACCTAAAAAATTATTTTTAAGAACAGACTAACATGATTATTTAATACACTCAGAATCTCAGCTGTATTTCGTGAGGTGTGATAACTGCCTCAAATTTATTAATTAACATTAGTGTAAGCATGTGACTCAAACTATTATCAATACTTTTTTAAAATGCAGTTAGTGGTGTACAGGAAAAAGTGATCATAGCAAATAACATACTGCTTTTTTTATCCAGTGAAAATAAAGTATCAGGATACAACTGTTTTTGAAAAGATATTAAAAGACGGAGTCTCTTATCTTATCTTAGAGGCTAAGAGCCTCTTCCACTCAATACCTCTATTGCAAACCACAACACGCAAAAGGAGAGAGAAAAAAGGGGAATGCCCTGCCACAGAGGTGGGGGAGGGGGATGAGGTGGGGGGTGGGAGGAATACTGTGTTCACTGGTGGTGGAGAATGGGTACTCGAGCATTGTATGACTGAAACACAGGCACGAACGTTTGTCAGTCTGTAACTGTGCCTTACGGTGATTCACTAATGAAAAATTGAAAAAGAAAAAAGACAGAGCCTCTTATCTATGCTTTTAGAATTTTTCTGTCTACTAAACCTTGCTTGTTAGTAGTGAGTGAATTACATTTTAAACAAGTTGTTGTCGAAGACATTTATCTGTTTTCAGATGTCGCTGTGACAGTTGCTTCATCTACCCTCATTTGTGTTTTTCTTTTAAAAGTTCGAGCAACGTCTGTCCTTCCCCGATTTGGCCCACCCTGCCTGTTTAAAGGACACTTGAGCACCAAAAGTAACGGTAAGTGAAGTTCTCCGAAGGGTAAGCGATTGTTAGGAGCTTGACTGCCTGTCTCTTTCATTTGTGGATCTTGTGATATGATGAAAGACAATCAGTTCATTTCCTCAGCCGTTCGCCTTCACATTAATTGTAATGGATCATAGGTTGCTTTGAGAGTCGGGATTGAGGAGTGCTGCTCTTGGGCCCTGGCTATCCCTGGCCGCTCCTGCTCCTCTTGTGAGCTCCAGCTTAAAGAGCAGCTTAGAGGTCCTGGGGCTGAGTGGAAGAGCCGCTTACTGGTCCCCAGCTCACCTGCCTTGTTAAAAGCTTAATGAGCATTAAGACAGAACCATCGAGAAGGAAAGCCTGTGCAGAACGCCGGAAAAATGTGTTTTCTTTCCAAAATAAACATGAGTCTTTTATCCAATTAGACTACAGTCTATGAAAGGGGATCTTGCCATGTATTTTTAAATGTTTACACATTTTAAAGCCTTCAAAGTAAGTGTTCAGGGGCTGGAGCCATAGCACAGCGGGTAGGGTGTTTGCCTTGCACACAGCTGACCCAGGTTTGATTCCCAGCATCCCATATGGTCCCCTGAGCACTACCAGGAGTAATTCCTGAGTGCAAAGCCAGGAGTAACCCCTGTGCATCATCATATGTGATGCAAAAAATAAATTAATTAATTAATTTTTAAAAAAAAACTAAGTGTTCATGTGAATCAAATATATTTTTCCTAGGTAGAACCTAAAGTTTTAAGTGTGGGCTTTTATTGTTTTTTCCATATTTACATAAAATTGTATTGGGTCTTCTAAATTTGAAGAATTCTGTTTTTAGTTTAACCCTGTAATAAAGTAGATGTACAGAGCCAAGATCATAAACTTTGAAGTTTTAAGAGGATAAAAACCTCTCTCTCTCTCTCTCTCTCTCTCTATATATATATATATATATATATATACATATATATAGTATAAAGTTTCAAAGTTTGTAATTTGTTTAATTTACCAAACTGCATGTATTATCATTTATTCAAACATTACTAATGGTAACTTTATTTTATAATTGGACAAGTGACTAAGTATTTTCAGTGATGTGATACAGAGCTGTCGATAAGAAATAGTTTTATAAATGTAGTTTATAGTTCCTTCCCCAAACTCTGTAGCACTGTCCTCCCGTTGTTCATCAATTTGCTCGAGTGGGCCCAGTAACATCTCCATTGTGAGACTTGTTGTTACTGTGTTTGGTATATCGAATACTTCACAGGTAGCTTGCCGTGCAATCAAAATACTCTCGATAGCTTGCCGGGCTCTCTGAAAGGGGCGGAGGAATTGAACCTGGCTCCGCCAGGCGGTGGCTTGCAAGGCAAATGCCCTACCACTGTGCTGTCGCTCCAGCCCTCCCCAACTCTAAAGATCATAAAGGTTAGGAAGATTTCTTTCTAAGTGGTCAGTAGCTTGTCAGCTCTTGGTACAAGATTAAGAGTAGAATGTACTAAGCATCTCAGAATTATGTTCGTATCACCGTGGTTGAAATTCAGAACATGTTCTAATAATGAGCTTAATAGTAACTTGCCTCGTGATGTACTCATTTTAAATATATAATGATTAAATATGTTTTAATTTTTAGCTTTTTGCACTGACTCCTCCTCTCTCAGACTAAGTACTCTCCACCTGATCGAGACCCACATGGCTATTCACTATAATAAAATCCTTTCCGCCAAAGGTAAAAAACGCAAATGTGAACTTTCTGTACCAGCTGAAACCTTCAGCTTCACCTCTCAGAATAAATCTGTAACACAAACGAAATACATTGTCTACAAATGGATTTGATTTGTGTTTAGGGTAGTAAGATATCAACTACTGACTTACATATATGTATACACACACATACACATGCAGACATATATATATAGTTTATTTACTACATATAGCATATTCAGATTCCATTTTTGTTGACTATATTGAAATGAATATCTGCTGTTTCTTTTTTCTTATCGTTATCCCTACTATTTTTGGTTATATGTGATCTTAATCTTTATGTCTGCTTTTTCTGTTTTCATATCTTTTAAAGAAGCTCAACAGGCAAGAGTGGTAGTATAGTACAGAGGGTAGGGCGTTTGCCTTGCACGAAACTGACCCAGTTTCAATCCCCAGCATCCCACATGGTCCCCCAAGCACTGCCAGGAGTTCTTTAGTGCAGAGCCACTAAAGAGCCACTTTAGAGTAAGCCATGAGGAATGCCGGGTGTGGCCCAATAACAAACAAACAAAAAGTTATACAAAGAATGTACTAGTGGGCTGGAGAGACAGTACAGAGGCTAAGGCACTTGCTTGGCTGTGGCTGTGGCTGTGGCTACAACAATGGTTCCAACCCTGGCATCACATATGGTCCTCCAAGCACTGCCAGGTGTGGCCCTGAGCACAGACATAGGAGTGGTCCCTAAGCACCACCTGATGTGAAGCCCCTCCCCCCCTCCAAGATAAGTCAGGAAAGAAAGTATTAGCAACTATTTTTCCTTTTTTGTTAACTTTATTGAAGTGTAACATAAGATGCCCTGATCTTGAAGAGGCCAATTAAAATATTTTGCAGTCTGTCTACATGAATATAGTCACCATCATAATTGTCTTTCAATTAGCGGACACTTTTAAGTCACTACAACCCATGTTGTGGTATATGTCGGTATTTCTTCCTTGTTGCTAAGGAGCATTTCTGATTATCCCACAGGTTGTTTATTGCTTCACCCTTTGGATACTTAGATTGTTTGGCACAGTTGGGACCACTGAGAGTAAAGCTGCTTGTAAACATTCACATAGAATCCTTCATTCTGTGTCTCCGTTTCTCTTGGTTAAATTTACTTCCTAGAAATGGAATTGTGGGCTCATGCGTGGCTGTACCACTTTTTATATCTGTCGCTTTCACATCCTCACCTGTACTTACTTTGGACTAGTAATAGTAGTAGTAGCCCATTAAGGTTTTTGTTTGAATAGTATTTCTTCGATGTACTGTACCCATATGATAGTACCAATACTGTCAAACAACTTTTATTATAGCTTTATGCCATCCAAATCTTCTTTGGTGGAAAGTCTGTTCACATACTTTGGTTAGGATTTGTTGTTACTGTTTGGGAGGGGATTTCCCAGTGATGCTGGGGACCCCCAGGGTTGCACTGGTTGGTGCTTGGAAGACCTATGGTGCTGGGGATCAAACTAGGTGCATGCCAGGATGTGCCCTAACCCTTTGAACTTTCTCCCATCCATCTCTGCCTATTTTTGCAAATATTTTGTCTTAGTACTAAGTTTTGCAGGCTCTTTATGTGTTAACTACAGAATCTGTTATATTTTGCATATGTTTTCTTCTTTCCCATGATTTGTTTTTGACTTTTGTTTTTGCTTGTTTTTGTTTTGGTGTTTTGGGATCACTCCTGGCAACACTCAGGGGACCCTATGTGGTGTTGGAGACTAAAACAGAGTTGGCTGCCTGCAAATCACGTGCCCTACCTGTTATACCATCTATTACTCTGACTCATTTTTTTTTTAATTTTTAAGTAGTGTCAGACTTATAGAAAAGTTGCAAAAGCCAGAGCATTCTAAAAAAAGTCCTCTACCTAGATTTAGTGATGTTAACTCTAAACATAGTAATATCATCAAACCAAGAAATTGAAACTGGAGAGATAGAACAGTGGGCAAGGTGCTTGTCTTATATCTGGCTAACCCAGGTTCGATCCGCAGTACCTCTGATTATTCCCCAGCAGTGACCCCTGAGCATAGCTGGCTTGTGGCCTAAAAAACATTTTTTAAGGCAGAAAATTGGTAATTGATACAGTGCTAATAACTACAGACCTTATTTGAGTTTGACTGGGTTTTGTCTCAGGTGTCAGTCCCAGTGGTGCTCAGGGGACCAGGTGGTGCTGGGTTCAAATCTGGCCTCCCACCTGCCACGCCTGCACTCAGCCCATTGAGTTATCTCTGCAGCCCCTTCACTAAGAGTTTAAGAGATTTTTATTTTCTCATTTAAAGAGCTGTAGCACTGTAACACTATCTTCCCATTGTTCATCCATTTTGCTCAAGTGGGCCCAGTAACACTGTTACTGTGTTTGGCATAGCGAATATGTCATGGGTAGTTTGCCAGGCTTTTGCCATGCAGGCGAGATACTCTCGGTAGCTTGCCGGGCTCTCCGAGAGGGGCAGAGGAATCGAACCTGGGTCGGCCGGGTTGGCTGTGTGCAAGGCAAACGCCCTACCACTGTGCCATCACTCCAGCTCTTTAAAGAGCTAAGTCTCATAATTTTGCTACTTGTAAAGTTCAAATTATAAGTGACAAATTCTATCTTGTGACATGAGAATCTAAGTTCAGCTTGTTAATTATTTAATAGCTTACACTTTTCCTGTGCTGCTTAAGAATTTTTGCCTAATGTTAGATCACTAAGATAGTCTTGTGTTTTCCTCTAAGAGTGTACGTTTTAGCTTCTACATTTTTAAGATAATGATGCATCTTGTGTTAGTTTTTATACATGTTGTAAGTATCAGTGTTTTGCTTATGGTTATCTAAATATTCCCAACACCATTTGTTGAAGAGATTGTCCTTTCCCTACTGAACTGCCTTAACACATTCCAAATCTTTTTTTTTTTTTTTTTGGCGGGGGAGGGTGGTCACACCTGGTGATGCACAGGGGTTACTCCTGGCTTATGCACTCAGGAATTACTCCTGGTGGTGCTCAGGGGACCGTATGGGATGCTGGGAATCAAACCCGGGTTAGCGGTGTGCAAGGCAAATGCCCTACCTGCTGTGCTATTGCTGTACCCCCTGACACATTCCAAATGTTGATTTCACCACATGCATTGCTTTATGTCCAGACTTCCTCTTTGGTTCTGTGGACATAAATCTACTTGCTAATTTTGCATTCCCTTAATTACTGTAGCATTATTTTGAAATCAAATAGCATAAGTCATTCAATTTTGCTTTTCTTTTCTGAGCTTGATTGGGAATTCTGGTTACAAGGACGTTAGGTGTGTGATATAGACACGTTAGTTTAGTGATCTACGTTCATGTACTTTCCAGTCATCCTTTACTTTTCAATAGTTTATATAGCTATATTTTCAAGTCCACTAATAATTTCTTCTGCAGTATTTATTGAGCAGTTATTCCCAACCAATGTATTGTTTACCAAGGATATTACATTTTTCATTGCTAGAAATACAATAAAAATCAAACCAAGGAACTGCAAGTTCTGGAACATTTTATTTCCTCAGTTGGTATTTGTTGTATTTTAAAATATTAGGAATATAATTGAACCTCTGATTTTTCCTCTTTCAGCTGCAGTAGACTGCTCAATTCCAATAAGCTTGACTACCAGCATCAAATGTAAGTAAATTTCACGTGCTCCCTTCTGATTTGGGGGCCATGCTTCATCCTTGGTAGGACTATTCCTGGCATGGTATTTAGTCATTCACAGTGGTACACTCAGAACTCTGAGGTTCAGGGGATTGAACCCAGGCTTCTGTGTGCAAAACTTGAGCCCCCGACTCTTTAAGCCATCTTCCAGCCTTTATGGATTCCTTAAAAAAAAAAAACTAATCTTTACATTATAGAAAATTTACCTTCTCAACTAGTAAGTGTACAGTGGCAGGCATTAGATGAATTGGTATTCAGGGCCACTCTCACCACCAACCATTTCCAGAACTTGGCTTGTTACAAAAGATGCAAAAATGCCTATAATAAGTAACCCCTGATTTTCCCCATTGTAATCAACATTGTACATTCTGTGCCAGTAGAATCTGCTTCATGTGAGTGAAGTGAAATTCAAGTGAATTTTGGTGAAATCAGTGTTTCCTTTTGGTGACTAGTTTATTTCATTTAGTTTAATGTTCTCAAGGTTCACCATGTTGTAATGTGCTAGACTCTTTCCTTTCTGAGGCATATTTGTGTCTATGCCGTATTTTGTTTACGGAGTCACATGTCAGAAAATACTTAGAAATTTGTTTCTACTTTTTGGAGTGTTGAGAATAATCCTTATAGTCCTTATAAATACATTGATAGATAAAACTCTTCAAGGCTTTCCTTTCAATTATTTTGGGTATATACCAAGAAGTGGATTTGCTATATCACATGGTAATCCTATTTTTAATTTGTTAAGAATCCACTGTACTCTTTGCTGTCGCACTGTAGCACTGTCCTCCCATTGTTCATCGATTTGCTCGAGCGGGCACCAGCAACATCTCACAACAAATTGTGAGATTTGTTGTTACTGTTTTTGGCTATCAGATATCAAGGGGAGCCTCCAGGCTTTGCCTTGCAGGCGAAATACTCTCTGTAGCTTGCTGGGCTCTCCAAGAGGGGCGGAGGAATTGAACCCAGGTCAGCCACGTACAGAGCAAATGCCTTACCCACTGTACTCTCGCTCCAGCCTGTACTCTTTGCTATAGCAACTAAATCATTTTACATTTTCACTGTAGTGTTCAAAGGTTCCAGTTTTTCTATATCCTCCCCAGTAATTATTTTCTGTTATTGATAGTAACTATCCTAATGGATGTTGGCAACAGTGCCTTTCAAGGAAGTGTTTTCTTAAAAATTATCCATAAATAAAGCAAACTTAATGTCTAAGTTTAGGAACTTAGATTCCAATTCCAGGTTTGTTTGTCACTTAATTGTATGTGACTGAATAAATTGTGTGGATTTGATCTTTTTGTACATATAAAAATTCAGGTATTACTAAAAGACTTGCTGAAGTTTATGTACAAAGGGGCCAGAGCGCTAGTACATCGGGTAGGGCATTTTCCTTGCACACAGCCGACCCAGGTTCAATCCTCGGCATCCCATATGGTCCACCAAGCTCCACCAGGAGTAACCTGAGTGCCGCCAGGTGTTACTCAAAAAGCCTAAATAAATAATTTTTTTTTAAAGTTTATGTACAAGATTTCTGTGATTCTTATTGCCCTTGACTTAAGATGACTGGCTCAGGACCAGGGAGATTACTGAAAAGTCCTGAGTGCAGCCTTGCATCTGGGAAAGAAAGCATTTGCTTCTATAGAGCTTATATTCTAATTGAAGGAGGAAAGCAGTTTCAAAAAAGTAAGTCAACATAGAATGGTCTATTTTGATATAGAACAAGGTAAGGGAAATTGGGAGCCCCTCAGAGAGGAAGTTTTCACCTCATGATAAGGACAAATCTGCAGAGAACTAGGTAGGTGGGCATCTGGGAAAAGGGCAGTTCAGGTAGTGGCTTTCAGAGACCTGTAAATGACATTGTGATGGGTGTATATAGGTACAGCAGGGAGAGTTGTATGGAATAAACCAGCTGAGAGTGACAGAATTTGAGGCACTGAGATGGGAAAGAGATGGAAACCTTCCTGGCCTATGGCCATTGCAAACATTTTTGTATCCATCCTAAATGAAATCAGAAGCCCTTGGAGGATGTTGAATAGAGACACACCAGAGCCAGTTTAACACCAAAGTGTCTCCTGGCTCCCTAGTTGAGATTGTTTGGTAAGAGGCAGTGGTAGAAAGGGAATGCCCTGCCACAGAGGTGGGGGGGGGGGGGGGGATGGGGCTGGGGGCTGGGAAGGGATACTGGGATCAGTGGTGGTGGAGAATGGACACTGATAGAGGGATGGGTACTCGATCATTTTATAACTAAAACCCAAGCACAAAAATTTGTAAGTCTGCAACTGTATCTCATGGTGTTTCACTAATAAAAAGAGAGAGAGAGAGAGAGAGAGAGAGAGAGAGAGAGAGAGAGAGAGAGAGACAGTGGTAGAAGTAGATAACTGATTTCTATAGCTCTTCTTTGAAAAAAACCAACGAGAAAAAGCAGTCTTAAACTGTCGTGTATTTTAAAGAGTGTTTTAAAGACCGAATATCACTGGGTAAAGGCTGAATGTGTTAAAATGACAGCTAAAAACCCAAAGAAATAAAAGGGGCTGGAGTAATAGTACAGCAGGTAGGGCATTTGCCTGGCATGCAGCCCAACCCGGGTTCGATTCCCAGCATCCCATATGGTTCCCCAAGTACCACCAGGACTAATTCCTGAGTGCAAAGCCAGGAGTAACACCTGTGCATCACCAGGTGTGACCCAAAAAGCAAAAAAGAGAGTTACATATTTAACAACAACCACTGTTTCTGCTGATCAGGAGAACAAATTTCCAAAAAGCAGCAAAGTAGCATTTTAAAAAATCCTGTAAGAAATTAAATTTTGATACGTATCAAAATTGTATTTTATTTCTTTGGGGTTTGGTGGGTCACACCTGAAAGTACTCAGTGGCTGTACTGGACTCTGTGCTCAGGAATGACCTCTGGGAGTGGCCCACATGATACTGGAGGATGAAAGGGGATCAGCCTGCAAGCTCCTTACCCTGTATATTACCTCTTTGGCTCCCATTATCACATTTAAAAAAGTGTTTTCAATCAGAAAAATATCAGATATCTCTTTTTCTTTTCTTTTTTTAAGAATCAGATAGAAGTGATGAGGGTGTTGCAAGCTCTAATCAGTTGAAACGCTTCTCTGAGATGCTGTTAGATCACCCAGGCAGAGGCTGCCATTGTCCTTTTTTAATCATATAAAAACATAAATTTTGTTAATATCTGATGATATTGACAGCAGCATTTCACTGGAGCGAGAAGTGTCTAGTTTAACTCTGACTCCACATCAGGAATTATGAAATCTCTGTTTTGGCACGCCTTTCCAACCTTTCTGTCTTAGAATATCTTCCTAGGAAACCCTTTCTGGAAACCTTAGCCTTAGTCAGCTTGTCACATTTTAGGTGCAATTTTAAATTGTTAATCTCTTGATCAGGTGGGATCGATAATACAGCGTGTAGGGCATTTTCCTTGCAGGCAGCCGATCAGGATTTGATCCCGGCATCCCATATGGTCCCCCAAGCCTGCCAGGAGTGATCCCTGAATGCAGAGCCACCGCTGGGGGTGGCCCAAACCACCTCCCACACACATAGACTCAAAAAAAATGCCTAAATTGTTAATTGCTTTTAAGTTTCCATAAAATATTTGTTAACTTATTCTTTTTTTTTATGTAGGAGTACTGCTATTTATTCAGCCACTGATTAGCTGATTGAATTGGGCATGAACTCCACCTTAACTTACTCTTACATGGAAAAGCATATAAAGAATTTTTCTTTTGGTGAAGCAAGCTAGTTTTTATTGAAACTTATTTTAAAAGATGTGAGGGGAGAGAAAGAAGTACATGTATGAGAATGCACAGAGAACACAGGCTTCTCCAGAGTGGAAATAGGCAAGCAAAGAAACATCAATATAAATAAGGGAGATAGGGTTTCAAGGAAGAACACCAGCTTGAAGATCAACCTGTACTTTAAGAATTTTATTTACAAAACAGTAGCATTGTAGCACTGTCCTCCCACTGTTCATTGATTTGCTCAAGCAGGCACCAGTAACCTCTCCATTGTGAGACTTATTCTTACTGCTTTTGGCATATCGAATATGCCACGGGGAGCTTGCCAGGCTCTGCAGTGCGGGCAGGATACTCTCGGTAGCTTGCCTGGCTCTCCGAGAGGGATGGAGGAATCGAACCTGGGTCGGCCCCATGCAAGGCAAACACCCTACCCGCTGTGCTATCACTCCAGCCATTCACAAAACAGTAGTATAAATATTTATGCCAAGAAAAGGCAAAACTTTTTTTTTGTTGTTTTTCTGTCTTTTAAAAGATTTGTCTTTTCCTCCAGATGCAGATCAACAACGAAGGGAGAAACTGAAAAAGGAATTAGCACAATATCAAAGAGATTTCAAATTGAGTAAAACTGCAGGGCAAGCCAAATCTAAAAATAATTCTAGGTCATTATTTACTGGTCTTGAAAAGGTAAGACAGTATTTTATTTTTTTTGTATTAAAAGCAAATTTGCTTCACTTTTGGTGGGCCCTGACTTTTTGGTATTTATGTTAGGGTCAGAGTCTATAAACTTCCTAGAGAACCAGATGGTAAATATTTTAGATTTGGGGCTACATGTTCTGCCACAACTGTGCCACTGGACAGCAGTCATAGAGAAAACATAAAACAGCAGGTGTAACTGTGTCCCAGTGAAACTTCATTAACAAAAGATGACACTGGGGCCTGGGAAGATGGCTGCACCACTGTGGTGGCCCCCAAGCCAGTGGTGTGACTCTATAGCCTATGTAACTCTATTCCCTATAGAGAATGTGGTCTCCCATTTGAGTGTAAAAAGATTATATGAGACGAGGCTGGAGCGATAGCACGGCGGGTAGAGCGTTTACCTTGCAAGCGGCCAACACAGGTTCAATTCCCAGCATCCCATATGGTCCCCTGAGCACTGCCAGGAGTAATTCCAGAGTGCAGAGCCAGGAGTAACCCCTGTGCATTGCTAGGTGTGACCCAAAAAGAAAAAAAAAATTATATGAGACACTGATTTTAAAACAGCACAGTGTCTGACACGAATATATATTCAGGAAATAATAGGGGGAAATGTGTGTGGTGGTTTGAAATATGTCCTCAAAAATTTGGATATCACCTCCTCATGTGCATGGCAAGTGAGCAGACACTTGTCGTGCATGTGTGAGGCCCTGGGTTCAATCTCTGTCCCTGGCATCAAAAAATAAGAAAGAAAGAAAGAAAGAAAGAAAGAAAGAAAGAAAGAAAGAAAATTAAAATCCACTTAAGGGGCGGGCTGGAGCGATAGCACAGTGGGTAGGGCATTTGCCTTGCATGTGGCCAACCCGGGTTCAATTCCCAGCATCCCATATGGCCCCCCGAGCATCCCCAAGAGTAATTCCTGAATGCAGAGCCAGGAGCAACCCCTAAGCATTGCCGGGTGTGACTCAAAAAGAAAAAAAATCCACTTAAGGCTTCCAGATGGCGCGGCCCCAAGAGACAGCTCAACAGACTCGGGGTAAGCTTCGCATGCAGAGACTCAGGGTCAGCCCCCAGTATCACAGGGTGCCGTGAACACTGTGTCTGAGCACCGAACTTGTAGTAGACCCCAAGCACCACCAGCTGTTGTCCCCACCCCTAAGAGATATTCCAGGTAGTATAACAAAATTTAAAATTATGTTTTTGTTTTTTGAAATGAGACTTGGCAAGGTTCAAATCTGTGAGACCCTGTGCCTCAGTTTCTTCATCCATGAAATTAGAGGTAATGTACCACCATCCAAATATTGGCATGAGGATGAAATGAGTTCTACATATAATTCCTTAGAATAGTATAGTGCACATAGTAAAGGCACTGTAAGTGTTGTTAGGAGCTCTTACTGCTCCTCTTTTAGTCTACTCAGTGAAAAGAGTAATACTTTGGGGGCCAGAGCAATAGGATAGGACACTTGCTTGCATACGGCCGACCCAGGTTCAATTTCCAGCATCCCATATAGTCTCCTCAGCACTGCCAGGAGCTATCTCTGAACTCAGAACCAGGAGTAAGCCCTAAACACTGCTGGGCATGGCCCAAAAAAATAAAACCAAAAAAAGAATAGAACTTTGCACATAAAACACATTTTTAAAATTTTTTATTGGCTTGATTATATATTCATTGTTCTGAGACTTCATTATAGAGCAAATAAAACTAACTCAGTCTGATGTATTTTCACATGTTTCTGTCACTTCTTTGTAACTTCTCATCCACCTTATGAAACGTCTCTGGGATTTCTAAAGATATCCCTGAATTCTGGACACAATGATAACACTTCTTGACTTATGAAAGAATAAAATATCTTTTATTATAGAGTCTATAAATTAGACTATGGTTGTCTGGTAGAAATAGTTCTTCCAACATTTTTGTTTTCGTTTTTGTTTTCTTTTGGGTAACACCCAGAGATGCTCAGGGGCTACTCCTGGCTCTGCACTCAGGAATCACTACTGGCGGTGCTCAGGGGACCATATGGGATGCCGGGGATCAAACCCAGGTTGTCATGTGCAAGGCAAATGCCAACCCACTAAATCCAACATTTTCAACCAGAGATGTAGTACACTTCCAAAACTCCGCCTTTTCAAAGCTTCCCTCCTTGTGGAGAGAAGTTGAATAAGGTGGTGAACTTTTTATGGCTATGAATTTCTTAATTATGCTTAAAATATTGGTTCATTTAACCAGCATTTTCTGTATTGAGAGTTCTTTTTCATTTCGTTAAAACATTTCTTAAATTGAGGGCTATAGCTATAGTACAGCAGGTAGGGAACTTGCCTTGCATGCGGCCAATGTGGGTTCCATCCTCTTGACCCCATGTGGTCCCCTCAGCCCGCCAGGAGTGATCCCTGAGCACAGAGTCAGAGTCTGGAGTAAGCCCTGAGCAATGCCAGGTGTGCAGCCGTATTCCCCACCACCCCCACACAAATCTTGTACATTCAGAGGGGTCTGTGTGAGTGACTGAAAAGCACCACAGGCAGATGATGGCAGATGATGACAGTACCTGACAGATGATGACACCACCTTAGTGGTTCACTTAATGGCCAAGTTAGGGTTCACAACTGGTTTGAAAACTCTCTCTAGACTCTTAATAGAATTCAAAATACAGATTCAAGACTTCAAGTTGAAGTGCTGTTATTTTTTGTTGTGGAGAGGGAAATTATTGCTATTAACTTCATTTTGAATTATCTTAATACTGTTGCAGAACTTCATAGGCAGTGAATGCTAACATCTTCAGGAACATAGAAGTTAACTTTGTAGACCCCGAGTCAGTCATTTTGGAATGCTTAATTTGGCGATCCCCCCATTACATGCGTAAATGTAATCAGTAACTGTCAAACCCAATGTTCTTAGCCCTCAGGGGATCCACAAGTTGAGGATGAGAAGATTGGATTTAATTTTGTGAAAGAAGTGAATAGATTTTCATCCTTTCCAAGGCCACTGGTAACTTCTTCAGAGAGTCTGTGCCTAAATCTGCCTAAATCCAGTGAAGTCTTCAGTACTGGTACCAAAAAGCATGCCAGTTCCTCTCAGTCCATCACGGATTACAACGTCTCTGAGCCCAGAAAACCATGTTCTAGAGTCAAAAATGTCAGACGACCCAAGAGCACATTCTCAAATTCCCACCGTTTTCAGTTAGTTATCTCAAAAGCGTCCAACGGTGACCTTCTAGATAAACATTCTGACCTCTTCTCCAATACTCAGTTGCCATTCACTCCCCGCACCTTAAAATCAGAAGCAAAATCTTTCCTGTCACAGTATCGATACTATACACCTGCCAAAAGAAAACAGAATCTTGCAGATCCGCAGACTGAAGCTGAAACCCAGGCTGAACCAAACAGGTATGACACATCAGCAGCCTACAACTTGTGTATGTCTTGAAATATTGTGTTTTTAAGAAGTCTTTAAAATATGTCGGCAGATAGCTTTTCTGTAAATATTTCTGCTGATTAAATATTTAAAATGGCAAAAGTGAGGTTACAGCAATAGCACAGCAGGTAAGGCGCTTGCCTTGCACGAGGCCAACCCAGGTTTGATTCCCACCATCCTATAGGGTCCCCTGAGCCCCACCAGCAGTGATTCCTGAGTGTAGAGCCACGAGTAACCTTGAGCACTGCTGGTTTTGACCCAAAATAAAAATTTTTGAAAGGCAAAACTATAAGCCATAAAGAGGAGAGGGGAAGACAACTGTTTAACTATCCTTTTGCTCTCTTCCTTAAATTTAGTTTGCAGTCTTTTATATCATCCACTTGCCAGGAATAATTTACACAGCTGGGATAATATCTGTAATTTAAATATCATTTTACTCGGTAATGTTTTCATTTATGATAGTACCTGGCACATCACAAATACTTAGTAGAAGTTTAGCAGTGATTCAAAAAAAAAAAGATTAAAAAAAAATCTTGTACTGTATTATTATCTGATATGTGATTTTTTTTCTAGTGTTAAATCAGTATTTGAGGGGCTAAAGCGATAGTACATTGGGTAGAGTGTTTGCCTTGCATGCGTCCAACCTGGGTTTGATCCCTGGCATCCCATGAGCACTCCCAGGAGCACTCCCAGGAGTAATTCCTGAGTACAGAACCAGGAGTGACCCCTGAGCAACACCGGGTGTGACCCAAAAAGCCAAAAATAAATAAGTAAACCAATATTTGGCATTAGTACTGGGACTTTGTTATTTTAGAAAGCAACGAACACTTTTAGACTAGTAATATCAGATGAACTACGTACATTTAATCAAAGAAAAAAGCATGAAATCTATGAGCTTGTCAAGTGGGAGAAAAGTGAAGAAAGCAGGTATATCATACACATTCTTTTCTGATTTGCCTTTAACAGCCTGTGAAAATAATACTTTCATTTCACTAGTCTTTTCTGTTTACTGAAACCTGGCTGCTATTTAAAAATAGGAAAAGTATCTTTAATCCAAACCATATCTCTTTCCTGATTATGCAGTTATAACTTACATATTTTCTAAGAATAGATGGGTTCATTTCAGCTCTTGCTTTTTCCTAGATAGTAATACTTGTTATCAGAATATTTCTATTTTGAAGGCACAAAAATTAATTCTTTTGAAATGTTACAGCCTTAAGTCTGATTGTGATGCAGCTGCAGATGAAAATGTCATAGACTCAGAATTGGCTCTACAGCAGGTAATAAAATTAAAACCTTCGTGATCCATATTGGAATTATAAGGTGCTTTAATTTCTATATTAAGTATATTATATTTAATTACATATGACAGCTATTTGAACTGTTAAAAATAATCCATTAGTGGGCTAGAGCAATAGCACAGCAGGTAGGGCGTTTGCCTTGCACACGGCCGACCCGGGTTCGATTCCCAGCATCCTATATGGTCCCCTGAGCACCGCCAGGAGTAATTTCTGAGTGCAGAACCAGGAGTAACCTCTGTGCAATGCTGGGTGTGACCCAAAAAGAAAAAAAAAAAGAATAATCCATTAGTTACATGTCATGCATATGTTACAACCAGTAAGCAGAAGATTTTCGGGTTTTTAAGTAGAGTTTTCAGCCAGAGAGTTAGTTCAGTGAGCTGACCGCATGCTTTGCACACAGAAAATCAATGATCCCTGCAACCAGAGTTCTCTACACCCTACTGGGTATGGCCCCAAAACTATAAAAACGTAGACATGTACAACTCACTTCGAAGTTATCCTGCCCCATCTGGGAATCAATGCTATGAGCATCTTTTCTTGATTGTTGCTTGATTGTGTAGATCAAAAGGGTTAAAGAATAAATTGCATAGTGTTGTTCTCAACAGTACCAATGTGAATAATTCAGGAGACAGAAAAACTCTACAGAAGCTATGGAGATGGGGCTGGAGAGATGTTCAAAGTGCTGACGTGCATACTGGACCCTGGGGCTCGAACCCTAGTGCACACGACCCCCCAGCACTGAGCAGACTGATTTGAACAGACAGGTCTTATAAATAGTGGGAGTCTAAATTTCTAAATAATGAGAGACTTCTTTTATTTTACTTAAAACTTCTGAAGCACTTGATTTTCTATTTTTCGATAATCATTCCTTTTCTTTTTCTTTTGTGTTGTGGGTTTTTTTTGGGGGGGTGGGGTGGAAATCTATTCCCAGCTTGTTGCCCAGGGACACTCCTGACAGTGCTTGGGGACCACACCATGATGGAGGTAGAATCAGGTGCCCCAAATATTAAGCATGCACACCCGCCCTTTTGAACTGTTTCCCTGGCCTCTGTAGCAAATGTCATTTATTACAAGATCCCTCAATAAAGTAAAGGAGTAAGTTGTGGACTTAAGAAAAAAAGGCTGGGTGGGAAATGTCTTCTACCACAAAGCATCATTTGTTGTAATGAACGTTACCTTTGTCTACTAGTTATCTCTAGTCTCTCTGCTTAGCTTTTTTTTTTCAATTTTTTTGGTCTTATTTCTGCTTTTGTCATGTATTTTTTAAAGCAGAATATTTATTCTCATTGCTTACCCAGGTATCTAGTTGTCTGACATATAAAGAAGAAGAAATAACCCATCTACCTTTGGAAATACATGGTTTAGCGTGGGACAGCATTAAAAATGACACTCCTCAGTATTCCTCAAGGTAAATTGCTGGCAGGAAAATCGCCTCCTTGGTCTTCATCTCACTGCTTTGCTGGATAATAGACATCACTTTGCAACATAAGTGCAATCTAAATTATAGCCTCTCGAACCCACGTCTTTTACTTTGCTGAAAGAAGTACCAGTAACTCTTGGAGCTCTGGAGCTCTTCTTGGCTTGATGCTTAGGGCTCTCCTTCTAGAAGTGTTCAGGGCACCACCCAGGCTCAAACCCAAGCTTGTGAGTGCACGCACGCCTTCCTGCCCATCTACGGCCCACTGAGCATCCTCTTCCAGCTCCTAACCTGTCTTTAATGTTAGATACATTTAATGATAGTGTTAGTTTTATCAAGAAAATCTTACAAAGGAAGAGCTCAGTAAAAGTTTCCATTCATTAACAAAGGATAAAGGGACACTGGTGTGTACTGATTGGACAACACTTTATCCAAGGCAAACAGCACAAATAACACTGAAATTCTGATCCTTCCCAGGTGAGGGAGGATTCAGAATTTGTGACTGAATATTTATGCCTTCCTACTGCTTTATTTATGGCAGACCGAGACATTCCTTTTGGAAAAATTAAATAGCAAGCAAAAACCTTACATGACATGTTTAGTGATTAGGGTACAAACATCAGAACACACCAGTGGTTGGAGCACATGCTTCAAATGCACCTGACAAGGCCCCATTTCCCAGCACCATATGGTCCCCTGAGCACCCACAAGGCTGTGTCCAAGGAGACCCCCCAGCTGGGGTGGCCCAGCAGTGGTCCTTGGTCCTGAGGGTTGAGCAGCATCACATCCCTGGGCCCTTGCACTGAACTGAGGGCCCACCAAGCACCAATCACTGATAGGGGCCCCAGGCCCCCTCAGTACTGTTTGGGAGGCCTCCCTCCCACGCATACACAGATGAGGGGCTATCAAGTAATCTAAACCTAAGACATAATTTTGTTGGTTCATCTGTCAAATGCATTTCCCACCTCAGAGATGAATAATGCAAATGCCTGTTATTGCGACTTTAACTAGTACATAACCTAGACAAGTCCCTTCACCTTTCTGGCCCTTGGTGAACTCATTAGTCCACAGGAAAAGAATCCCTCCCCGCTAGACCTCTCAGCAGGGCAGGGTGTTTGAGCATTAAAGCAGATCAAGGAGAAGAATGTATTTTTAAAATTCTGAAACCTACTATCTGGGCTGGAGCAATAGCACAGTGAGTAGAGCGTTTACCTTGCACGTGGCCAACCCGGGTTCGATTCTCAGCATCCCATATGGTCCCCTGAGCACCGCCAGGGATAATTCCTGAGTGCAGAGCCAGGAATAACCCCTGTGCATCGCCAGGTGTGACCCAAAAAGCCAAAAAATAAAAAAATAAAAATAAAGTAAAATTCTGAAACCTACTGTCACTGACATGTTATTTGCCAGTCATTTTATGCAAATTTTTTAATTTTCTCTTTCCAGCACGATATGTCAGTATTCCCTGAACTCTCCTCTAGGAAGAAAAAGTTTCACTGAGTAAGATCTTTCTGACATGTGTATTCTGGTTAAAGGAAATTAAGAATCTCATAAAGCATTATGAAATAAGTCAGAACTGAACCACTAGTGTTCAGCTAGTCCTGTGGGCCAATCATCTATTATGGTTAATTTTTTTTTCTTTTTTTGTGCTAAATTTTCTGAAATAATCAGTCCCCTTCATCTTTATGTCCGGTGGAAATTAGTCCCTAAGCTAATACCTGCTTTTTTTTAATAACCAGGATACATAATTCTGGTTTCTTTTTGTAAGTAAAAGTAGTAAATGAAAATAAGACGGTTACAAGACTATAAACTTTTGCTTACCTCACCTGGAGGTTTCTAACTTTACCTGTTTGTGAATTGTACTACTTGTGGGAGGGTTTTTTGTTTTCTTTTTTTTTTTTTAAGTAAAATAGTTTTATTTTACTTAAGAGAGTCAGGGAGTCATCGGAGCAATAAGCAGTCGAGGGAGCTCCAGAGAGAAGGAGAAGCGGAGAGAAGAATGGAGAGATTGGAATAAACTGCAATTGATACCGACCAGATAGATAGATAGCACAGCAGTAGGGTGTTTGCCTTGCGAGCAGCCAGCCTGGCTGAGCCGGGTCCGGGTTCAATTCCTCTGCCCCTCTCAGAGAGCCTCGCAAGCTATTGAGAGTATCTCGCCCACATGGCAAAGCCTGGCAAGCTACCCATGGCGTATTAGATATGCCAAACACAGTAACAAGTCTCAAAATGGAGACATTACTGGGCCCGCTCGAACAAATCAATGAACAACAGAAGGACAGACAGTATATATATGTGTGTGTGTGTGTGTATACACATATATATATATATATATATATATATATATATATATATATAGCCCAGCAAGCTACCGAGAGTATCCCGCCCGCACGGGCAGAACCTGGCAAGTTCCCCATGGCGTATTCAATACGCCCAAACCAGTAACTATAACAGGTCTCATTCCCCTGACCCTGAAAGAGCCTCCAATCCTTGGGAAAAATGAATAAGGAGAAGCTGCTAAAATCTCAGGGCTGGGACGAATGGAGACGTTACTCACGCCCACTTGAGTAAATCGATGAACAACGGGATACAGTGATACAGTGACAGTTTTATTTAGAGAATGGAAGGGAGAGAGTGATAGGCAGAAAGAAAGAGAGAGGTATCCTGTTCAAAAGAAAATAAGTAAGGTTGGAGCAATCGTACAGCGAGTAGGGTACTTGCTTGCTTACAGCCAACCTGGGTTCAATCCCCGGCACCCCATAAGCCATGCTGCTTAGGCCCCTCATACTTCCAGGATTCTCTGGTCCTGCCGAACCAAACCCTAGAGCCTTCAAGACTGGGACCAGTGATGCTCAGGGCACCTGTGCCCTAACAGCTGTGCTGTCCCTCAGGCCCCTGGAAATACAACTTTTTCTTTACTTTTTCAGAGGTGAGGGTTATACTGTACACTGAAGGGCTGGAGGCTACTCTGGGTAGAACAGTGGGGGGGTGCATGAAGTGTGAGGGTCAGACCATGACAGCAAAGCATGTGCTCCAACCTTTTGAGCTTTCGAGTTTTGATCTTCTGTTAATCTGATGTTTGTTAATCCCTAATTAAGTACAGTAATTACTGTATTTACTCAGTTATTAAATACTTGCTATTTGCATTTTTCTATCAATTACTGTTAGTGCATTAAAATACCTTCATACCTTACAACAGTTACTAAATAAGAAAGTATAATTAAATATTCATCTATTCATCTATAGATTAACATCTATAATAAATATGTCCTAGTAATCAAAAATTGTCACTATCTATACACAAACTTTCCTGTCAGGTTATTTTTTCTCCTTTTCAAACATTCTGAGGAACAAACTTGATTTTTTCTGCCCAGTGAATTTCCCAGCCCAAAACAAGATTGACTTCTCAGAGCAGGAGAGAATATCAGAGTTGAGACTCATGGGCCAGGTCATATAGTACATGCCTGTGTCTGTTGAGGTAGCCCCATTTAATCCCGAGCACCACATGACTCCCAGAGCACCACCAGATGTCGTCCTGGTCGTCCCAGAGTACTGCCAGTGGTTCCCAAGCAGCTGAGCTGGGTGTTGCAGGGAGTGGCCCTGGGCCCATGAGGAGAAGAGGAAGAAAGGGAGGGAAGAGAAGGAGAGAGGAAGGGAAGGATAATGGGTTATGGACAGATAAATGGATTGATGAATGGTTAGACAGATGGACAGATGGATGGATAGGCAGGCAGGCTGATAGACAGTCAGCGCTCAACAGGAAGACTTGCCAGTGGTCGCATTGGGTTATCGCTTTCCCTTGATTGCCTCCTGTTTCATATAAAACTTTCTTTCCAGATTATTTTCTCATCTGTCATAAACTTATTCCTGCCTACTTTCAGAAGCTAGACCTATATTTTGTTTGTAATATTCCTCAGTCCCTCTCGGAGAGCCCGGCAAGCTACCGAGAGTATCCCGCCCGCACGGCAGAGCCTGGCAAGCTCCCCATGGCATATTCGATATGCCATAAACAGTAACAACAAGTCTCACAATGGAGATGTTACTGGTGCCCGCTCGAGCAAATTGATGAACAGTGGGAGGATACTGCTGCCAGTGCTACAGTGCAATAACCAAAAAAAAAAAAAAACACTGTCCTCTCGTTGTTCATCGATTTGCTCGAGCGGGCCCAGTGATGTCTCCATTTTTTGAGACTTGTTGTTACTGTGTTTGGCATATTGAATACGTCACGGGTAGCTTGCCAGGCTTTGCCGTGCGGGCGAGATACTCTCCGTAGCTTGCCGGGCTCTTCGAGAGGGGCGGAGGAATCGAACCCGGCTCGGACAGGCTGGCTGTGTGCAAGGCAACCGCCCTACCGCTGTACTATCGCTCCAGCCCTACAGTGCAATACTCCTTCTAGTTAGGTGAAACAGGGCCAAGAACGTTGTATGAGGGATGCCCACACAACCCCTCGTACTGTGTGTGAGGCTAGGTGGGTCCCCAACACCGCACGCCCCACCCCAACCCCCAGTACCTTGGGAATTGATGTCCATAAAATAGCAACCCCCAAATCAGGAAGACAATACCTTTATAATGGCAGAGAACTGTTTCTAAGGAGGTATGCGTGGTTACTGAACTTTTCAGAATGAGTCATCAATAACCTTATGCTATATATCGATTTGCTTTTTTACAGTAAAGAAGAATTATTGTATCTGAGTTTCATTGAAAATATAACGGAGGACATTTTGAAAGTTGGTTTATTTTCAAACAGGTTAGATAACCTTTTAATGATCTTTGTTCTAAAAACATGAAATTACTGTGGTTGAATGTATTAAACGCGTCCTTTCGAATTAGTTTATTTTAAGCTGTTTCCAGACAGAGCTGTGGCTGAGTATAAAGTGTGTGTCCTATTTACACCCACGACCCGAATTCCCAGCACCACAAAAACAAGGGCCTGTCCACACAGGAGGAAGTGAAAGATTAGAGGGCCTTCTCAGGAAACTGTATTCTTGTTTGGTGTGTGTGTGTGTGTGTGTGTGTGTGTGTGTGTGTGTGTGTATTTTGGCCCTCTCACCAATATTGCTAGCTCAGAGGCTACTCCCATCTGGGACTCCAGTAGCATCAGGGGACCCTGTAGCCCAGGCTTCAAACCAGACTTCTGGCATTGAGCCTTTTTTGGCCCAGGAAACCATATTTATATAATTGACAGCAAACTGTAAAGAACATTTAATTCACACTCTAAAACAAGTCCATAGTTTGGAAAAGTGATGGAAAAGAAGTAGAAATTTTATTGATTTAGATATTATTTGCATATATATATATCTAATAATCCATAATTAAATTTTTCCTTCTTATTGGAAACCCATTTTACTCTGGAACTATTATATGAATCAAGAACAAACATATTTTTTCTTACATCTCCTACACAAAAACTAAAGACAAATTTAAATTTGCACAGTCAGTGGAATGGCAGGTTTACAAACCGGATTCCTGGCAACGTATCTTCTGTTTTGTTTTGTTTTCTTGTGAGGATTTGGGTCACTACAAGTGATATTCAGGACTTCCTCTTGGCTCTGTGCTCCGGGATCACTTCTGGTAGTGCTCAGGGGATATATGGGGTATCAGGGACCGAACCTGGGTTGGCCGCGTGCAAGATAAGCACCCTGCTCACTGTCCCCTCACTCTCCCCTAGCTGTTACATATCTTAAGTGAAACCCGTATCTTGAATCAGCTGGAGTATTTACCTCTCACTTTGCTGCCTAGCACAGGACCCCGTTGTGTGTACCACAGGCTTTCCCTGCCCTAACAGTACATCCAAGGCAGCACCCCCACCCAGTCAAACCCAGAACGTCAGTGCAAGGCAACTGCTATACTGCTGAGTTGCCTTGCCGGCCCCAGTGCGACATTTCTAATGAATTATTTCTGTGGATTAGGTATTTTCTTTGCTGGGAGCTCGCCAGCAGACCAGAGAGGACCCAGGGGTCACTCCCAGCATTCCTTGGCCCACCAGCGCTTGGATGTGATTTTTGGTTTGTTTGGGAGCCCCCGGCTCTGCACTCAGGAGTTACTCCTGGCGGTGCTCAGGGGACCATATGAAATGCCAAGGATTGAGCCCTGTCAGCCGTGTGCAAGGCACACACCCTGCCCTCTGTGTTGTCACTCTGGCCCTTGGACTTGGGAAGCTACTTAGTTGCTGGGGGCCAAAAGGGGCCACACCCAGCAGTGCTTTTTCTCTTTTTGAGACTGGGGGGTGGGGGCCACCCTCTAACAGTCTGCCTGGATTGAAACCAGAGTCTCAGAGTCTGTATGTGTAAGGTCTTTGCCCCCCCCCCCACCCTGTGCTATCTTCCCAGTCCCCAAATTCTTTCCATTCTTATGTGAAGCTATTTCTTTTAATTAGAACATTTTCATTATTGGTAATATACCAAGATATAGTAAGAAGACCTAAGTAATTTTTACTATTCTGTTTATCTCTTCATTTAAGAAAAGGTAATTTATGCCAGGAGTGATCTCTGAGTGCAGAACCAGAAGCAAAGCCCTGAGCATAACTAGGTGTGACCCAACCTCTCATCCCCCAAAAAAGGTGGTTTAAAAGTTTACACAGTAGGGCACAGCGGGTAGGGCATTTGCCTTTCACGCAGCCGACCTGGATTCGATTCCCAGCATCCCATATGGTCCCCCAAGCACCGCCAGGAGTAATTCCTGAGTGAAAAGCCAGGAGTAACTCCTGTGCATTGCTGGGTGTGACCCAAAAAGCAAAAAAAAAAAAGTTTACACACTAGGGATAGAGTTTGATTTGTAAGGTCAAACAGTTCTTATTGATCTGTCTCACAACAATAAATATACTTAACAGGACTGCACAATATGCCCAAAAATTGTTATTATGGTAAAAAAAAATTTTGTTATTGTATTGTTTTGCCACCCCTACATAAAAAATATTAAGATTCCAACTGCAAATCAAAAGACAAACTTAAAGGTTAAAAATTAAGCAAAAACTTGTATAAAATATGTATTTATACTTTAAGTTTTATATTTTTCACATGTATTATAAGGCTGTGGTAGTATTTCTAATAAAAAGCACCCCAAAATGGAATTTGTCAGCATGTTGAAAAATTTGGTTAAATAACTTATAAAACTTGGGGGGGGGAGATGTAGGCCACCCACATGGGTGCTCAGAGCTTACTCCTGCCTCTGTGCTCAGAGCTCATTCCTGGATGCTCACAAAACCATCTGCAGTGCCAGGAATGGGACTAGGTGAAACACATGCAGACTCATTAGAATACTAATGAGTAAGATCTGCTCAGCGATTTAAGATGTGGTCATTGGGATTTCATAATGTAGAAAGATGTTAAAGATATATTTTATTGGGGGAAAAAGCCTACCAAAAAGTGAATATTCCAAGCCGTGAGCATTAGTTGTAAAACAGAGGCTATGGATTTTGTGATCTCTTAAATTGCTGAATAATCGAAACTTGGTCAGTATAAGTGACTTATAATTTCACTGATCATAAATGATAAAGGAAATGTTCATCAAGAAAAGCTAACAATAAATTCATGCGATGGCAAGATACAGATGATAAAATTGGAAGAGTAACCTTCTAGTCAGGCACATCTGATTCAAATCTCTTTTTTTTTCCTTTTTTTTTTATTAGTGAAACACCATGAGGTACAGTTGTAGATTTACAATTTTTTGTGCTTGGGTTTCGATTATACAATGATCAGATACCCATCCCTCCACCAGTGCCCATTTTCCACCACCATGGATAATATCCCCCCCACCCCATCCCCCCATCCCCCCCTGCCTCTGTGGCAGGGCAATCCCCTGTGTTCTCTCTCTCCTTTTGGGTGTCGTGGTCTGCAAAAGAGGCATTGAGTGGCAAACATGTTCAGTCCATAGTCTACTTTCGACATGCATCTCCCCTCCTGGGAGGATCCTCCAAACACCCTTTATTTGGTGCTCCCTTCTCTATCTGAACTGCCCTTTCCTCTAGGATACCCGGCTGGCCTCTGAGTTATGGAGTAATCCTCCTAGTGTTGATCTCAGCTATTCTTGGGTATTAATCTCATATTTTGTTACTTTATATCCCCCAGATGAATGCAATCTTTCTATGTCTATCCCTCTCTTTCTGACTCATTTCGCTTAGCATGATACTTTCCATATTGTACCACTTGTATGTAAATTTCATGACTTCATCTTTTCTAACAGCTACATAGTACTCCATTGTGTAGATGTACCAAAGTTTCTTTAACCAGTCATCTGTTCTTGGGCATTCAGGTTTCTTCCAGTTTCTGGCTATTGTAAAGAGTGCTGCAATGAACAAACAAGTGCAGATGTCACTTCGACTATACATTTTTGCCTCTCTGGGATATATTCCCAGGAGTGGTATTGCTGGGTCAAATGGGAGCTCAATTTCTAATTTTTTGAGAATCGTCCATACTGTTTTCCAGAAGGGCTGAACCAGTGGACATTCCCACCAACAGTGAAGGAGTGTCCCTTTCTCGCCACATCCACGCCAGCATCGGTTGCTTTTGTTCTTTTGAATGTGGGCCAGTCTCTGAGGTGTGAGATGGTATTTCATTGTGGTTTTGATCTGCATCTCCCTGATGATTAATGATGTGGAGCATTTTCTCATGTGCTTTTTTGCCATTCGGATTTCTTCTTTGAGAAAGTTTCTGTTCATTTCATTGCCCCATTTTTGGATGGGGTTGGATGTTTTCTTCTTGTGGAGTTTAACCAATATTTTGTATATCCTGGATATCAACCCCTTGTCAGATGTGTATTTGGCAAATATCCTTTCCCATTCTGTAGACTCTCTTTGTATTTTGGTCACTGTTTCTTTGGAGGTGCAGAAGCTTCTTAGTTTAAGATAGTCCCATTTATCTATCTCTGTTTTCACTTGCTCGGCCAGTGGCGTGGCATCTTTGAAGATACCATTAGCTTCAATGTCATGGAGGGTTTTGCCAACTTTGTCTTCAATGTACCTTATGGTTTCTGGTCTGATGTTGAGGTCTTTAATCCATTTCTGATTCAAATCTCTTAACGACTTGTGGCCTTAAAAGAAAGGAAGATATCTGAAGGATGGAGGTTTCTCATCTTTATTTTTTTTTATTAAAAAATTTTTTAATAGTGAGACATCATGAGGTACAGTTGCAGACTTACACATTTTTGTGCTTGGGTTTCAATTATACAATGATCAAATACCCATCCCTCCACCGGTGCCCATTTCCCACCACCATGGATCCCAGTATCCCTCCCACCCCCCCATCCCCCAGTTTCTCATCTTTAAGATGGCTGATATGAAGTAGATAGAGTGTTAACTAGAATTCATCTGTCTTACAGACATTGGGAGGGGTGGGAGGGGGTATATTGAGGTTCTTGGTGGTGAAAAATAAGTATTGGTGAAGGGAAATGTGTTTGATGATTGCATGACCGAGACTTAAACCTGAAAGCTTTTTTTTCCCCACAGTGGTTCAATAAATAAATTTTTTTAAAATAAAATAAAATGTAAAAAAAATAAAATAATAAAATAAAATGGCTGATATGTTTCTTTTCTCTCCCTATACTGGCCATAAGGTACAATAATACAAATGTCTAGAACTTAGTGATACCTGATAAGTGATTACTTTCAGATTATTATGTGAATTTAACATGAGTGGATTTTTAAAATATAATTTAGGAAGCATTGTAAAATAACTTTACAAGAGAATTTAGTTCTTGGTTTGGGGGGTACTGGTAGGTATGTCAAACAAAGAGGGAGAAGAGAACCTTGGTATTTTTTTTTAATAGCCAAGATACCTTTATTTTATTTTTTTTCCCTTTATTTTTTTATTTTTATTTTTTTTACAGTTGTAGATTTACAATTTTTTGTGCTTGGGTTTCGATTATACAATGATCAGATACCCATCCCTCCACCAGTGCCCATTTTCCACCACCATGGATAATATCCCCCCACCCCCATCCCCCCATCCCCCCCTGTCTCTGTGGCAGGGCAATCCCCTGTGGAGAACCTTGGTATTTGTATATGTATATGGTGTGTACATAAAAGAGGTGGGGGGTGGCTGGAGAGATAGTGCAGCAGGTAGGGCACTTGCCTTGCATGCAGCCAACCTGGGTTGGATCCCCAGCTCTCCAGAGGATCCCCTGAGCTCCTTCGAGAGTGATCCCTGAGTGCAGAGCCAAGAGTAAGCCCTGAGTACTGCTGAGTGTGGCCAAAACAACAATAGCAAAAAAGAGAGGTGGAGGGGAAAGCTGAACTACTTGGATTTTAAATATTTCTAGGGGGCCAGAGAGGTAATACAGCAGGCAGGGCACTTGCCTTGCATATGACCCACCTGGATTCTATCCCTGGCACCCCAATATGGCACCCAAAGCTCATCACGGCTGGACTCTGAATGCAGAGCCAGGAATAAGCTCTGAGCAATCTGGCTATGGCCTCTAAACAAACAAAAAACAGAGAGGTAGGGGGCAAGGGAGGAACTATTTGGACCTTATTTTAGATATTTTTAGGGGCCTGGAGAGCTAGTGGTGGGGTTAAAATACTTGCCTTACATGCAGCTGACTCTGGTTCCATTCCCCAGCTTTGCACGTCCTCTAAGCACCATTAGGAGTCACCCCTGAGCACAGAGCTAGGAGTAGCGCTACCTGGTATGAACTCCCTCCCAAAAAATTAATCAAAATATTTATGACATCGCAGCCAACATGGCCGACCCGAGTTCGATTCCTCCGCCCCTATCGGAGAGCCCGGCAAGCTACGGAGAGTATCTTGCCCGCAAGGCAGAGCCTGGCAAGCTCCCCGTGACGTACTCGATATGCCAAACACAGTAACACGAAGTCTCATGATGGAGATGTTACTAGGCCAGCTCGAGCAAATTTATGACATAACTTTTAGCAACATGTAATGTCATCAATGTTGGCATCTATTATAAATGTTAAATGCTCAGAGGAAGTGGTGTTAGCTTCCAAATTAGAGAACTTAGTAGAACAGGAAAGATTTTAGAATGAAAAATATATTCTAAAATTTATTTTCCAATGCAGTAATTCAGTTATTACCTGGCTATTTTGTATTTTCTGATTGATTTTTCTGATTTTGAGACATTAACATTTTTATTTGTCATTTATAGGTTTTTAGAACAACTGTTTGAGCGCCACATAAAACAAAATAAACATCACTTGGAGGAGGTTTGTCTTTTCTTAGCACTTCATTACAAAAGTTCTTCCATAGAAAGAATCTTTAAAATTTGCATATCGTTAAGGAATGCATTAAAAAAGACAAGCTTTGTTTTTTTTTTCCTTTCTGGCCTCTTTGGCGGGGCTGGGGAGGAAAGGCATGTGTTGGGGAAGAAAAAAATGTTAAGCCTACTGGGGTCAGCAGTGGACAAAGGCAATTCAACCTGATTAGGTTAATTAATAGAATTATTGTCTTTTTTATTTTTCCATCCTAGGACAAAATGCGTCAGATGCTGCATATCCTAAAGGTGGATTTAGGCTGCATATCCAAGGAAAACTCGGTCACCATAAATGTTGGTATGTCGAATTTATCGGATTTCGAAACTGATGGAAGTTCCAAACAAGATGATTCTAAAACCGAACAGGATATAGAATTGCAGCTGGAACGCAAGCAGTACCTAAAAGCCCTGGACATGCTACTGTCCCTGCCAAAGGATGAGAATGAGCTGTCTTCGCCGAGTGACTTTCACCTGCCCCCCCATAAATCCAAGTCTTCTGAAGAGGTCATCGTCCAGCAGGTGAATGACGAACCCACGTGGGACCCTTTAAAGTGGGTTGAAAGAAGTGCCGCTGTGTCAGACAGCCCAAGGAACCAGGACGCCTGTGTGAACGTTGTGGTGGTCGACAGCGACTGCGAGGAGGCGGAGCTGTCCAGTGAATTATGTTGCCTCGATACAGCCCTACCCCAACCCGAGGAGCTGTGTGGTGTCCAGGATGACGACGACACGAAACTCACGGAGGAACTGTCTCTGGAAATCATAGAGATCAGCACCCAGAACTGCACTCCAGTCACTGATCAGCATTGATACCCCTGATGACCAGTAGTGTAGTTCAGTACTCCTTTTCACCCTTTTTTTTCCCCCTTAGTAGGATTTATACATTCATTTTCCTGTGATGTATAATAATAAATTACAGTAATTTAGCAGCTTAAAATACTATCACTGGTTGTCACGAAGTTTTTGTGAATCAGGAGCCAGAGACAGCTGGGAGAAGATTCTGCGATGGGGCTGGAGTGATAGCACGGTGGGTAAGGTGTTTGCCTTGCATGCATCTGACCCGGGTTCGATTCCCAGCATCCCATATGGTCCCCTGAGCACTGCCAGGAGTGATTCCTGAGCCAGGAGTAACCCCTGTGCACCACTGGGTGTGACCCAAAAACAAAGCAAAAAAAAACAAAACTCTGTCGTATCCCCGTGTCCACAGATCACGTGGGCGGTCTTGCATGTTGTTCTTTGGCTGGGGGTGGAGGAGATCATGACCAATGGTTCTCAGGGCTACTCCAGGCTCTGCTCACCAGAGCACTCCCAGTAGTGAGGAGTATCAGGGACTGGACTGAACTGGATTGGCTGTGTACAGGGCAAGCCCCCGACCCCAGGGCTATGGTCTTAACTGGGGGACAGTTAGCTTCCAAACTCTTTTCAGACTGTTGGGTGAATTCCTTTTTATTTTTTTTTTCTCGGTGCCTTTTGGGTCACTCCTGATGATGCTCAGTGGTTTCTCCTGACTGTGCTCTCAGGAATTACTCCTGGGGGTGTTGGGAGGACCCTATAGGATGCCAGGGATCAAACGCCAGATCAATTAGGTGCGAGGCAAATGCCCTCCCCACTGTATTATCACTCCTGCCCTGAATTCCTTCCCTGAATTTCTTCCTCAGAGAGCTGTCTGAGGGCTTCAGTTCCTTGCCAGTGTTGCCACTGGAGGACCTCAGCTCTTGGAGGCTGCCTGCCAATCCCTGACACTCAGCCCTCATCGCATGGCCATTGGCTTCTTAAAGTCTAATAAATGTATCGAGGGACTCTGCTAGTGAGTTGACCATCAGGAATGCTTCTCTGTCATCTTAGACATTACCCTTTATGTTCAAAGCAAGTCATAGACTCCTGCCCATGCTGATTTGAAGGGTGCGATGTTACTCGAGACTATAAATGCCAGGAAGTGAGGCTCAGCAGACATGAGGGGCCACTGCCACAGTGTCTTTGCTCTTCCAGAATAAAAACTTCAGATACAGGGCTGGAGCGATAGATAGTACAGCAGGTAGGGTGTTTGCCTTGCACACGGCCGATCCAAGTTTGATTCCCAGCATCCCATATGGTTCCCCGAGCACCGCCAGGAGTGATTCTTTTCTTTTTTTTTTTTTTTTTTTACTTTTTGGGTCACACCCAGCAATGCACAGGGGTTGTTACTCCTGGCTCTGCACTCGGGAATTACTCCTAGGTAATTCCTACCCGCTGTGCTATCACTCCAGCCCCAGGAGTGATTCTTAAGTGAAGAGCCAGGAGTAACCCCTGTGCATCGCCTGATGTGACCCAAAAAGCAAGACAAAAAAAAAACTTCAGAGACATAGTTTCGTGGACAACGGGAAATGGTTTATGGTGTGCAGATGCTGAGACTTTAAGCCTTATCTGTAGTATCTGTCGGGTTGGTTTTTGGGTTTGTTTTATTTTTTCTCACTTTTCTACAGTATCAAAACCTCAAGGCCTTTCTAGTTGAACTAAGGCAATGTGAGAGCTGCCTAAAAAAAAAAAAATAATCTTATCAGGGTAAACACTACTTCCACTACCCAGCCGTCGCCACACTCCAGGACGCTTTCCGGACTCGCGCGGCAGCTCCGGCCGAGACCCACACACAACTGAAGACCCACAGAACAAGGTAAGCGGAACTCTCTGAGACCTTGGACTCCAGGCTCGGCGGACCCAGGGACAGAGCTTCTCTGCTTGCTCCCACCACCACAGGTGACAAAGGGATTCTAATCAGGAGCCCCACCCTACCCTGCCCTGTCTGCTTCCATCAACCACCCAGGGATCGAATTGTGCACAGGAGACCCACCCTACCCAGATAAATACCCCACTGGCAGACTTCCACTCTCGACACTACTTCCACTACCCAGCCGTCGCCACACTCCAGGACGCTTTCCGGACCCGCGCGGCCGCAAGCGGCCACGCGACACATCATAAGACACTAAATACCCGTCTTCTGGAATTGTCGTACCATATTTGATAGGGTTCAAATATGGTAACACCTACAAGGGTGATTAGAGGTCACCCCAAAAGCCTCTATCCCTCTCGGAAAGACTGGCAAGCTACCGAGAGTATTCCGCCCGCACGGAAGAGCCTGGCAAGCTATCCGCTGTGTATTCGATATGCCAAAACCAGTAACTACAACTGGTCTCATTCACCTGACCCTGAAGGCTTCACCGACATGGCAGCACTGAGAAGGATGAGAAAGGAGAGGCCGACAAAATCTCAAGGCCGACCTAGGCTGCCACAACGAAGGAAGACAAAAATGATCGTCTGTACTTTCAATGCACGTACGCTAGCATCAGATGCATCCATCGAGGACCTGATGGTACAAGCGCGAATGATCAAGTACGACATCATTGGTCTGACCGAGACAAGAAGACACGAATCTCACCATGCCGTTTTCGACACTGGAGAAGAATTGTTCCTCGGAACATGCGATAAAAGAGGTGTTGGAGGCGTCGGTGTCCTTGTCAACACAAACTTGGCCAAGAGCATTGATTCATTCGAATGCCTAACAACCCGAATCGGACGTTTACATTTGAATAGATGTGGCTCACTGCCTGCAGTTTCTATCTTCGTTGTCTATGCACCAACATCTCATTATGATGAAAGAGAAATCGAGAAGTTCTACATGGAGCTAGAGAAGTTCTATAAAGAAGACCACACCTTCTACAAGATCATTGTGGGTGATTTTAATGCCAAGATAGGACCGAGAAGATCAGCTGAAGAACTTCACATCGGAACCCATGGCCTAGAATGGAACGAACAGGGTGAGAGACTGTCTGAGTTCATCATGTCGACCAAGACCATTCATGGTAACTCACAGTTCCAGAAGGCAGAATCTAAACGATGGACATGGGAGTCTCCCGGTGGACGATTCCACAACGAAATAGACCACATCATATTCAATCGACGGTTTTGCCTGACTGATGTCGCTGTTGTCCCAAAATTTCGAACGGGATCGGACCACCGTCTCCTTCGTGCAAAATTCTACTTCACAGAGCGGGGAGAAAGGGCTGCAAAGTTCAAAAAGAGAACTCCCAGAACGACCACCAACTGGGAACTCTTTGGTACTATTGCGGCAACATGGGAAGATGCCATTGTTGACAACATTGACGAGGAATACGATCGACTGGTTCAGCACCTCCATGAATGTGCGAGGAACGCCAAGAGAGAGATAGCCACAAAAAGTCGCCTATCTTCGAAAACTCTTGAGCTAATTCGCCAGCGTGGTTTGGCGCATGCCTCAGGCAACCGCAAGCTAACGTCCGAGCTTGCAAAGCAGTGCAGAGATGCGATCAAGGAAGACCTCAAAGAGAGAAGAGCAGAAGTACTGGTAGATGCGGCAGAAGCCGGGAAAAGTATTCGTAACGCCCGCCTGTCCTTCGCCAACTATAAGACCAAGATGACTGCCCTCCGACGTCCTGATGGATCCATCACATCCTCCAGAACGGCAATGGAGAAGATTATCCATGACTTTTACTCAAATCTCTTCGATAGCCATGTCCACTTGCCGACATACCAAATTCCACAGGATGGGTATGTCGTTCCCAACGTTCTCCCTTCCGAAATCCGACACGCCATTTCGTCAGTAAAGAAGCAAACAGCACCCGGCCCAGACAAGGTCAGACCTGAACACCTGAAGAACCTGCCGTCAGTACTCATCAATACACTGGCTCGGCTCTTCACTCGCTACCTGTCTGAATGCAAGGTTCCATCTCAATGGAAAACCAGCAGGACCGTACTACTGTTCAAGAAGGGAGACATCCATGACATTGGCAACTATCGCCCGATCTGCCTATTGTCTGTCATCTACAAGTTGTTCACTCGAGTCATCCTGAATAGGATTGGCAGAACACTAGATGAAGGACAACCATGTGAGCAAGCAGGGTTCCGCAAAGGATTCAGCACCATCGACCATATCCACACGATAACCAAACTCATTGAGGTTTCTCGGGAGTTCAAGATGCCGCTCTGCTTAACGTTCATTGATTTAAAGAAGGCCTTTGATTCTGTTGAGACGGAAGCGGTCATTGAAGCCCTAGCCAATCAGGGCATTCAAGCCCAATACATCAGGATCCTCCGTGAGCTGTATTGCGGATTCACTACCAGGATCTCACCATTCTACAAAGAAGTGATCGTTGATGTCAAGAGAGGGGTGCGGCAGGGTGATACCATTTCACCAAAACTCTTCAGTGCCACCCTCGAGAACATCATGCGACGACTGGAATGGGAAGGAATGGGAGTGAAGATAGATGGTCGGCAACTACACCACCTCCGCTTTGCTGATGACATTGTTTTAATAACACCAAACATCAGCCAAGCGGCACAAATGCTGGCCGACTTTGACCGTGAGTGTGGAAAGGTAGGACTACAGCTGAATCTTACGAAGACAATGTTTATGAGAAACAGCCTTGTTCCTGACGCCCCATTCGCTCTCAATGGAACGACCATCTCCGAATGCAACAGCTATGTGTACCTAGGTCGAGAGGTCAACATGACAAATGACCTGGCACCCGAGCTGCGCAGGAGGAAGAGAGCGGCTTGGAACGCCTTCAAGAACGTCGAAGAAATAGCTAAGAGGACGAAGAACCTCCGGCTCCGGGCACATCTCTTTGATTCCACTGTTCTTCCTGCATTAACATATGCCTCAGAGACCTGGGCCCTACGCAAACAAGATGAGAACGCCATTCAGGTCTCCCAAAGAAGAATAGAAAGAGCTATGCTTGGAATATCACGTTTCACTCAAATGAGAGAACGAATCCGGAGTTCTGACATCCGTCGACGATCAAGGATCAGGGACGCTGTCTCATTTGCCAAGGTGTCGAAAATCAGATGGGCTGGTCACGTAATGAGATTTAAAGACGACCGTTGGACTAGAGCTGTTACTGATTGGATTCCACGGGATGTCAAGAGACCGC